CACAGGCTGGTGTGCTTCTTCCATGTGGGCTTTATTGCTTCTGAGCCAGATGGCCACTTGTTTGTCTTCAAGCCTTTAAGACCCCAGGCACTATATCTTTTGATAGCCGGGCACCATCAGCTTTCTCCACCACATTTGCTTTTGTGCACATGTGTCTTCAGTGATCACATCGGGAAGGTGGGCACCCACTGATATGCTATTTTTGTTCGTTGATGTCTGATACCTGGTCCCTTCTACACCTTGTGGTCACACAGGCTGGTGTGCTTCTTCCATGTGGGCTTCCATGTGTGCTATATGGCTGCTTGTTTACCTGCAAGCCTTTAAGGAGCTGTTAAATTTTAACCTAACTACATCTGTATTAGTTCACTTTCAAATGCACTTGGATAGCAAGGCCATTATCCCTGGTCAATGCTCAGAGGGTATTTATTGGAGGCGTAATACCAATGGGAACCTTGCAAATGGAATTTAGGTGCTCAGAATTTAAGCTGTAATACCATTCCCTCCTCCAGTCTTGGATTTTATTATTTACAATTCTTGGGTTGTCAAACAGGCTGGTGTGCCTTCAAGTGGACTTAGCTATCACCTAATTAGATGGCTGCTTGTCCAAAAGGACTGTTGTAAGATAATCCTTTAAGACCCCAGACACTATTTTTTCTGACAGCCAGGCACCATCTGATTTTTCAACCGCATTTTGCTGTAGCACCCATATCTTCAGTGATCTCTTCATGAGCGTAGATATCAAATAGGACCATCACTTCGCATTTCAATATGAAATAGGTTCTACATATAAACTACCTCTATCTTTTAGCATGAGATGTATTTGTCCCTTTAAATCTGTTGACTATACATTTTAAAACTGAAGGGGATGACTGAATTCAACTATTTCCTCTCACAGATGAAATGAGGCACCAAGAGGTTAACAGAGCGTCTTAGTGGACCCAGATGCTGAGTCCTAGACAGTGCTTTGTACCACACCAAAATACCTCCCTTAAGTTCAACACAGAAAGCATGAATCCATAAGTTCCTTGCTAAGATGGATAGCATTTTAATATGATTTCCAGTCCAATCACCATATTAAAGATTTTATCTACTACCCAAGATAGAGGTTTCTATTACAAGGGAATGTTATATAAAAGCAGACTCCTGTAGTCCCATATCTTGATGACCTCGGGAAATACGTTTTGTTGGTCTAGTGATCACAACTTATTTATCTTGCATTAGAAATAACTATAATATACAACATGTGCTTTCTATACTACGTAAGCAATGACATTTTCTAAACTAAAAGAGAGAATCAAGTGATGTTCAGTAACTATGGTCTTCAGGGTTTTAAAAATTGCCTTCTATGTCGTTTTTCAATATTTTAACTGTTTTAGGCTACCAATTTAGCCATTAAAACTATTCATTAATGCTTATACAGGATACTTTTTGGAATTCAGGATCCTGCTGCTTTTATTTTGGAGATTTAGCTCTTTCGTCACAACCAATGAATCTAAGAATATGATTATGATCATGCTGTCAATATTCTAACCATTTAAAATACTAATTTGTCTACCGAAGTCATTCAATAATATCCAACAAAAGTAACTTTGAAAAATCTAGGATCTTGCTTATTGTCTAAATTTAGAAAATTGTTTCATTTCAACAGAAATCTAGGAATATGACACACACACAAACATTGGAACTGAAATTCTCATTATAACAAAACCCAACTAACCAACTCTCTCTGATTTATTCTTGAATTTCACTATTACTGATTCTGTTGCATTTGTTGGTAGGGTTGAAATTAGTTTAACTTTCTCTGAGTTTTCTCTAGGCAGAGGTAGAAATGTATATCACAACACTCTTCTTATATAGTAATTATTCAAGTAATAGTCAATTAATAAGTTATTGTTTAGGGACTTTCTTCTGATTGCTAACTTACCCTAAAATCCTCAACCATTTCTCCATTACACATATTTGCTAACCTTTGATCATCATGTTGCTCTTCCCAGTGATCATTCCAACTTACCTACA